TGTCTATATAATATTTGCCAAACATTAAAGAATTGTTGAATTCCAAAATTGACTGAATTACTGAACTTTTGATTTAGTGTGTTTATTTACATTGTAGATGGTTGTCCCTGTACAATCTAGCTAATAATAATACCCACCTTGCATCACCGGCAGTAGGCTACACCATCATGAATCAAGCCAAGTGTAAGGCTTATCGCTGCTGCTGACATGACCCTGATGGGCAGCAGACGTTTTGGTAAAGGTTACTCTGACAGCACCTGATAAAGACCATGAACATTACACGTGACCGACTGAATCTAACGTTCACCTTGAAGGGCAGAGTGTTCCTCAAATCACTGAGAGGCCACTTCATTTCTAAGGAATACTAGACAAACGAGAATAAGGAAAATGCAACAATTGTTTGTTTACCCAAATGAGGGGTCGATTATATTAGTGTCCCTATTCATTATTTTTTTAAGTGGTTCTGTAATCAAAAGGTTAAGAGAAAAAGTGAATTGAACAGGTTTTTCTCTGTGCCACAAAGTGATCATGTCATATTGATTTTGTTTATATCAGCTGGCTTAGAAAAGGTTAAAAATTAAAAAGTTTTATTTCAAATACATGGCAGGAAACAGATTTAGTTTGTGTATCTTTGGAAGGGGAGTTCCATGTCACCTCTGCCTCAATTACCCAGAAGCTTTTGGCTTTCTTTCCTCAAATCATACCCTTGCATGTAGTCAGTGGTCACCCTTTCCTTTCCTTTCTTTTCCTTTCCTTTCCTTTCCTTTCCTTTCCTTTCCTTTCCTTTCCTTTCCCTTACTTTCTTTTTCAATCCTTTACTTCCTTTTTCTTTCCTGACCTGTCTTGCCATTTCCTTTCCTTTCCTTCTATTCCCTTCATTAAGTCCACATCTTTCATGCCTATCTATACATATTATTCCCTCTATTTTCCTGCTATTATACCTTTTTGTGAGAATCGCTCATTTCCTCCCACTGACACTCATCACCAGCTGCCCCTAGGCTCTAGTGATGTGGTTGATTTGATTATCTCTGCTGTAGACTACCATGATGTATTTCGCTGCTGAATTCACAAAAAGCATCCCGTAGATGGAGAAACAGAAAGGCTGGTAATTTGTAGTCTGTGTGCGTAATGATAATGATTTTGATCTTGTGTTAGCCTTGTCTAGCTTAGCGATGGTTCCCACTTAGCTACAGACAGCAGGCCCTTACTCTGTAGACGTTTAACCCCTCCCTGATGGAGTGAAGATATTTCATCAACATACAAACTCTGGTTTACGCACAGTCTCCCAGCCCCTGCTGACACACACCTGCACACACAACAGTTCATACACACAAATGGACAGTATGGACACAGACTCTGGGTTTAATGCACTTAGGGAAATATGTGTTTCTGTCTGATCATTGTAGTGGTATACTATGTACTGTACATGCAAATACTAGTACTATTTGTACAGCAGTACAGCCTCAACAACTTTATTGCACATTATTTTCAAAAATATTTATTATGTTTCACATGAAAGGTATTTTTTTTAATTTGAAAACCCCCATACGCATATATATGGATACACAGATATACACTCGGGACACTAAGGATTCCACAGTAAGAAAAACTGAATTGATACGTGCCCAACACCAGGCAACTCCTACTAACTGAAGGACAATAACGTACATTACCTTTCTAGAAAGCTTGTATTGAAACTTGTGGTTTTAAGTCATTTATTTTCAGATTAAATATCAACAGCAACATATACCTACACCTTTGCTCCTATACTAGAATTATGTTGATTCTAATGGTGTTAGGGTAATACATACTTTATTATAGGATAAAGTTGTAGAAATATATATTAAACTCACTATTTAATGCAATGCTAGAAGATATGAAAGTACAAAGACTCAGAACAACATTTTATGGCCCTGTGGTTTGATAGAAGTCTATTAATGATGTCTTGTGGTCATATATAGAAATAATAAGGCTAAATATCAGATGTGATGGTGTTAGAGCTTGTAGTCGTTGGTTCTGAGTGCTTTCCATGTCGTGACCTGAATACCTCACCGTTGAAGCCCGGCCAGCAGCTCATTAACATTCCAATACAGCTCTAATCACCACTGCAATGTGTGTGTGTTTGTGCATGTGTGTGTGTTTGTTATAAAGAGAGAAACCATGCAAAGTGTGTGATGAAGTGCCTGCCTCAGGTGATCAGAGCTGAGCGGTGCGATTGGTTCCATCTACCTCCGGCCTTCCTCTGCATATCAAACTATTGCGCAAGTCTTGCACAGCTGAGACTCATTTCACTTCCAAGTTTTATTGACTTAGTCATGAGACATATGAGGATTGGTGTGAGATGAAAGGTGCACACGGAAAGGAACAATACAAACAGATTATGTAAAAAACACTTGCTTCAAATAATGGGGAAACAGTTTTTTACATGAGCTTTTTATTACTGTTTGTTGAAAATAACCACTCCCTTGTCTCTCTCTCCCTCCAGAAAGACTGTATAACTCCAATGGACGTGACTTGAGAAGGGCCCTGTTCTCTCTAAAGCAGATCTTTCAGGTAACACGCATATTTCACATGCAATTACTGTCCGTTTGTTGTTGCAGAATACAGTTAGTTATTGTGGCCACCATGCGCCTCCCTGATGACAGGGATCTCCATCAACGTGGCGTTTCTCTCCCTGTGTGTGTATATATGTGGGTGTGTGTAGGCCTTTGTGTGTGGGGTGTATTTGTACTGTATGTGTTTGTGTGAATCTTTATTTTAAGATGAGAGGAGTGAGCCACATAAAACACCAAGGGCTTTTTCTGGAACACAAAAGAACACAAGAATACTGAACTATAACAAAAACAATTAAATAGCAATGCTTGCTAATGCAGCATTTAAGTAAAATGATTACATTTGCAAACACTTAAATTGACCCCCCAAAAATGTTCATTTTATCATGAGACAACAGCATAAAATGTCTTGTCAGTTCAATTAAAACATCTTTCTCTTCTCTTTGTCGTTCCATTGCCGCAGCTTGGTTAAAACAATAAAAAAAGGCAGGAGTTTTCTCCCAGATTCCGTGCTTATTTTTTACCCTAGACACATGACAGTCTAAATTGACAAATTGCTAAACACATGGTTGGTGGAGTGTATGTATCAGCTGTTCTGGGGAATGAAACATTGATGTACTGTCGTCTTTAGTCCTAGCACTGACACCATGTGGTAACAAAAGAGAATACAACCTGAATTTTCTAAAAATAGAGTACAATTGTGAGTTTTAGGAGGGATTTTTTGTGATTCTATAAGTATAAAACCAATAATTGTATCAGTGTCCTTTGCTGTGAAGCGCTTCGAGATTTGTCTTGGCAGATGAGAAGCGCTATATAAATTAAATGTATTATTATTATTTATTAGTGTGTACTGTGCTTACTTGTCCTATGCTTTCTTTTTCCCCCTGTTTTACTCCAGGATGACAAAGACCTGGTCCATGAGTTTGTGATGGCCGAAGGTCTGACCTGTCTCATCAAAGTGGGCGCAGAAGCTGACCAGAACTACCAGAACTACATATTGAGAGGTAAAGTTTCCCTGCCTCTTTGATAACTGTAATCTGATACAGTTTTACAAGTATGAATAATGACAGTTATGGTACAAATATTTAAATGATTGTTAGGTAAAGAAATGAAAAAAAGCAAAGAATACACAAATATAATCAGAAAAACCTGAATGCATCAGCACATTTTCCATCTTAAAAAATCAACATAAATGTTTACTTGTACTAAACATTAAAAAAGGTTTGCAACATTTGTTTTAACAGAATTTGATTTTGATTGTGGCAGTTACCAATAACAGAAAGTACAGCTCTTCTCTCTATCTCAGTCTTTCTTTCTCACATCCTTCCTGTCTCTGTCCAACCCTCGCTTAAACATCCTCCTTTGTCTCTTTACTGTCTCTCTTTTTAGAAATACATACAGCATTGTATACAGTTAATTTAAGCTTAAGTGTGTCATATGTCAAATAATGACAAGAGTAAATGTTTCAAAGTGAAATACGTGTGAAACATAAAAATATGGATTACTTACTAAGAGAGGCTTCCTTTTTTCACACTTAACCACATTTGTGAACAATCATAATTTATGATGAGAGAATGAGATACTTTCTTGAACAACATATCTAGGGAAAAAAATTAGTTATTTCTCCAGTCATTGTTCAATATTTGTTCTAAATTAAATGTCCCTGATCAGAATGCCATATGGTCGAATAGCTCTCTCTACTAGCTGTTTCTCATTACTGGCAGGCAGTCCTTCCATAAAACGAATAACCCAATATCTAGGTTATTCGCAGATGTGTCTTAAGCCAGGGTTGATTCGATTTTGCAGGATCACTTTGTAACTTTCCCCCGTCGTGTCCGATGTGAAGATCTTGGCATAACAATCTCTCTTAGCAACACGTACACTATATAGACAAAAGTATTGAATTCAAGTGTTTCATTCAGTCCCATTGCCAGTTGGAATGCATGTTTCAATGCCAAAGGGTTTAACGGGCAGTCCAATAATTGAAGCTAAAACTTTCATGTTCAATTTTTAAGGTTCAAATACGTGGTTGAGGAGGATTGGAGCAAAGTGTCTCTGTTCTTCTCTTGTTCACTGTGTGTGGGAATCATTAACTACTGTACATTTAAACTTACTTCATGGCTCTTTCTGTGTAACAATACAATTGAAAATGTGTGTCTCTCGTAACGACTCAGGATTTGCATTATTATCCTGGGTTTACTTCATAGTTCAGAGTTTTCCATTTGTTTCACTTACGAATTTGTCAAATCATTTGTACCAAAGTGGTGTGGTCTGTATCAGCAAATAGTAGACCTGTTCATTTTAAAACTTGTAGGAAATCCCCCAAGATCCCTGAAATAAAAATCTGAACTAAAGGAATTCAACAAAATGTCTTTGAATGTTAGTCAGGTCAGTTCACATGTTAATACCTATACATTGACACTTTATATGAACCAAACGCAAGCAAGATCAGATGGTAATGTAACTTTTAATAATAAGACACAGACAATCACTACTCTATAATCAACAAGGTCAATAATAACTACATTTCTCTATTACGTCTACTGTGTAAAATAGTTATATTTCCAATACAGTTCAAAGCAGCTGACACTTAGAAACATAAACTCATCAGATATTAATTTGATTAAACAAGATTTTGCAAAAAGTTTATAATTATTACCGACAGTTGTTAAGGCACCTAAACACTGTTTTAAAATCAGCTTTTCTCCATCAAAGTAGAAACAAATTAAGTAAACATTGAAATTAGGTTTAATTTGTTGTTACTAAAGTAGAGATTTTTGTCCCTGTGGTTGATCAGCTTTAACCAATATTCAATAGGTTACAATAAAAGTCAAGCAAATGTAAAATTGCGCTGACAAAATGATAACAGTCAAAGTTACGAAAATAGCCTTGAACAAAGCTGTTGAAAGCCCCTTGAGAACCAGTCAACTAGAAATATTCAACGTCTCTAGCCAAAGATATTTAGAACTGAAGAAAATAAGGAATACACTTTGCCAAGTATACCATCATCACTGCCGGCGTGTTCATCTCCACCATCGTCATCGTCGTCTCCGTCGTCGTCTCCGTCGTCGTTACAGTCGCCTCCGTCATCTCCATTGTCGCTACTGTCCTCGTCGTCGTCCTTCATCTCCTGAATCAGAATGCCGTAGGGTCGAATAGCTCTCTCGGCTATCCATTCCTCCTTCCAGGCAGGCGTTCCTTCACCAACAGGAATCAGCCAGTAGTCAGATCTTCGGCATACCTCTCTTCTTTCAGGATTGATTCGATTTTGCAGGATCACTTTGTAGCTTTTCCCCGTCTTCTTTGATTGGAAGTTCTTGGCGTACAGCTCATTCTCAGCAACACGTATGTCTGGTGTTGAGTAGATTCCTCTTCCATATAAAGCTCTATCTCCAGCCTTGTAGTGACTGTTGATGATGCCTCTGGCTCCATCTGAGCTCGTCCCATGGTAGGAAACAGGCCATTCTCCAGGTACAGAGTGACTCCTCCATCCGTCTGGGCCCAGCCAGGTGTCTCCATCTGGATATTTGCCTCTGACCTTTAACGCCATGCGGTACCAACCATTGGGGCGCTCATAAGGTTCGTCACCTCTCATGCACTCAGCCGAGTCAGAGAGATCAGTGAAGTCGCGGTCATACTGCGGGTCAAAAAAGTATTTCTCATCGATGAACAATTCATTCTCAACCTGTTGTTTCACCAAGATTTGTCGGAGGTGAAAGTCCTCAAGAGACAAAATATTTGCTCTTGTCTTGTTTGTTTGGTTGTCATAGGGTTTAACCTCCTGTCCAAGAATGGAAGATACAATTTCTGCTCTTAAATCTGGGTCCTTAAACATGGTTGAGGAGGAATCAAGCAAAGCGTCTCTCTTCCCTAGTCCACAGTGTGTGTGTGTGTGTGTAAGCTTCGCTTATAAAGTAATATCTTAACAGAAACTTGGAATACAAATAGATTAGAGAATTCTCTTACACTTTCATTTTGACTCAAGGTTGACACCTACACAAAAATGTGCTGTTTCGACATAGAGCAACCGCGGAAACCTCTTCTACAGCATTTCCTGTACAATTAACAAAAGAAGCTTGGCTGTGTGTCAAGGAGGAAAGTATTCTGCAAATGCTGTTTATACTTTATGAACACTGAGCTCAGAGCTCATTCAGTGAGACAGGAATCATTTCTTAACTACTGCACAGCTACACCTAACTACATGGCTCTTTCTTTGTTAGAAAATACATTGCATAACAATAACAGTGAGGCTTTAAACAAACTTTGTTCATATTATTTCAGTTTTTATCTTAATTTGACATTTTGTCTGTCAGAATCAGAATCAGAAACGGGTTTATTGCCAGGTAGGTTCACACATAGGAGGAATTTGACTTGATGTCCTGGTGCATACATAAAATATAAAACAAAAATGTAAAAAAGTACACAGATAGAGAACTATATTAAGAGCACTGTAATACAAATATAGTAAGATAGCAATAAAATAATATATATATATATAAAAGAATAATGTCATAACGACTTCGGATTTGCGTTATTATCATGTGTTTTATTTATCATAATTATTTTTACAGACAGTTTTCCATTTGCTTCAATTACAATTTGGTCAAATAATTTGTATTTTGTAATTATCAAGGTGTTTTTGTTTGGTACAGTAAGCACATTTGCACCAAAGAGGTGTGGTCTGTATCAGCAGATAGTAGAACTACCAGTTTTCAAACTTGACAGCGTATCTGTAGGAAATCCCCCAAGATCCCAGCACCAATAAAACACTTAAGGGAAGATTAATTTCAGATCTTTATTTATATCACAGAACAAATGAAAGATTATCAAAGTGTTAAGTGTTTCTAGAAAACTGGTTGCAGTAAACTTTAGTGTAAAATAAGTTACTTTTATGGTGGAAATCTGAAATAAAGGATTTCAACAATATTTTCTGATATGTTTAATAAAGAAATACAAAAATAAACCTTTGCAAAGGATCCCAGCACACACACAGCATTTCTGCAACCACTGGGCAACAAGCACAAAGTTATTACACATTATATAGCCAGAAACAACTTAGCCTTGTGATTCCTGCGAAGACAGTCTGGGAAAATGTTTCCTGAAGTCATCGCAAAATTGTTTGGGGTGAGTGCTGGTTTGAACAATAAACACAAGCATGGTTCAGGAAAAGGTCAGTTCACATATTAATACCTATACAATGACACTTTATATTATTACAGAAGCAAGATCAGATGGTAATGTTCTTACTCTGTTGAACTTTTAATAATTAGACACAGACAAATAGTACTCTAATAAACAAGGTAAATAATTACAAATATTCTCCATTACATATACTGTGTAATATGATTATATTTCCAGTACAGTTAAAAGCAGATTACACTTTTATACTATAAATCATCAGATATACATTTTCTCAAAGTTTTGACATCAAGATCATTAAAATGGTTTGCAGGGGGACAATGTTCTTTCACTGTTGAACCTTTAATAATAAGACACAGACAATCACTACTCTATAATAAACAAGGTCAATAATAACTACATTTCTCTATTACATCTACTGTGTAAAATGATTATATTTCCAATACAGTTCAAAGCAGCTGACATTTAGAAACATAAACTCATCAGATATTAATTTTATAAAACAAATGCTTAAAGTAAGTCGTCGTCCGAGTCCGAGTCGTCCGAGTCGTCCGAGTCGTCCTCATCCTTCATCTCCTGAATCAGAATGCCGTAGGGTCGAATAGCTCTCTCTGCTATTTGTTTCTCCTTCCAGGCAGGCGTTCCTTCATCAACAGGAATCAGCCAGTAGTCAGATCTTCGGCATACCTCTCTTCTTTCAGGATTGATTCGATTTTGCAGGATCACTTTGTATTTTTTCCCCGTCTTCTTTGATTCGAAGGTCTTGCCGTACTGCTCATTCTCAGCAACACGTATGTCTGGTGTTGAGTAGATTCCTCTTCCATATAAATCTCTGTCTCCAGCCTTGTAGTGAGTCTTGATGATGCCTCTGGCTCCATCTGAGCTCGTCCCATGGTAGGAAACAGGCCACTCTCCAGCTACAGAGTGACTCCTCCATCCGTCTGGGCCCAACCAGGTGTCTCCCTCTGGATATTTGCCTTTGACCTTTAACGCCATGCGGTACCAACCATTGGGGCGCTCATAAGGTTCGTCACCTCTCATGCACTCAGCCGAGTCAGAGAGATCAGTGAAGTCGAGGTCATACTGCGGGTCAAAAAAGTATTTCTCATCGATGAACAATTCATTCTCAACCTGTTGTTTCCCCAAGATTTGTCGGAGGTGAAAGTCCTCAAGAGACAAAATATTTGCTCTTGTCTTGTTTGTTTTGTTGTCATAGGGTTTAACCTCCTGTCCAAGAATGGAAGATAAAACTTCTGCTCTTAAATCTGGGTCCTTAAACATGGTTGAGGAGGATTCAATCAAAGTGTCTCTCTTCCCTAGTCAACAGTGGGTGTGTGTAAGCTTCGCTTATAAAGTAATATCTTAACAGAAACTTGGAATAAAAATAGATTAGAGAATTCTCTTACACTTTCATTTTCAATTTTTGTTGCTGCTTCAACATAGAGCAACCGCGGAAACCTGTTCTACGGCCTTCCCTGTACAATTAACAAAAGAAGTTTGGCTGTGTGTCAAGGAGGAAAGTAATATGCAAATGCTGTTTATACTTTATGAACACTGAGCTCAGAGCTCATTCAGTGAGACAGGAGTCATTTCTTAACTATTGCACAGCTACACCTAACTACATGGCTCTTTCTTTGTTAGAAAATACAAATTTGACACTTAATTTGATATATTATCATGTGTTTATTTATCATCATTATTTTTACAGACAATTTTCCATTTGCTTGAAATACAATTTTGTCAAATAATTTGTATTTTGTAATTATCAAGGTGTTTTTATTTTGTACAGTAAGCACATTTGCACCAAGGAGGTGTGGTCTGTATCAGCAGATAGTAGAACTACCCGTTTTAAGATTGCAGCGTCTCTGTAGGAAATCCCCCAAGATCCCAGCACCAATAAAACACTTAAAGGTGGGGTCGGTAAGTTTGAGAAACCGGCTCGAGATACACTTTTTGTTATATTCCATGGAATGCTCTTAACACCCCGATAGCAATGAATATCTTAAGTGCTTTGACAAAAAATCCATTAAAAAATGTCATCTGTGGAAGCCGTAGTACTGTAAAAAGCACGACCAATCATCTTAGCCGGCCCGGCTAAAATAACTGGATGGCCTACCTGCCTGTCAGCCTTCCATCTGTGCACAAACTTATCTCGTGCCCTCATTGGTCATGTGCGCGTTCGTGTGTGTTGGAGGAGGGGCTCTATAAGGAAGTGGCATATTTTCTCCGGTTGTGTATTTTCACATTCTAGCGATCTCGAGCCGGTTTCTCAAACTTACCTACCCCACCTTTAATGTACAAGCAGGTTGAGGTGTAACTTTATTCACTATTGGGTATTCTAGTGTTTCACAATACAAGATTTGTCGGAGGTGAATGTCCTCAAGAGACAACATATTTGCTCTTGTCTTGTTTGTTTGGTTGTCATACAGTTTAACCTCCTGTCCAAGAATGGAAGATACAATTTCTGCTCTTAAATCTGGGTCCTTAAACATGGTTGAGGAGGATTCAAGCATAGCGTCTCTCTTCCCTAGTCCACAGTGTGTGTGTATGTGTGTGTGAGCGAGCTTAGCTTATAAAGTAATATCTTAACAGAAACTTGGAATAAAAATAGATTAGAGAATTCTCTTACACTTTCATTTTGACTCAAGGTTGTCACCTAAAAAGAATATGTGCTGCTTTGACATAGAGCAACCGCGGAAACCTGTTCTACAGCCTTCCCTGTACAATTAACAAAAGAAGCTTGGCTGTGTGTCAAGGAGGAAAGTAATCTGCAAATGCTGTTTATACTTTATGAACACTGAGCTCAGAGCTCATTCAGTGAGACAGGAATCATTTCTTAACTATTGCACAGCTACACCTAACTACATGGCTCTTTCTTTGATAGAAAATACATTGCATAACAATAACAGTGAGGCTTTAAACAAACTTTGTTCATATTATTTCAGTTTTTATCTTAATTTGACATTTTGTCTGTCAGAATCAGAATCAGAAACGGGTTTATTGCCAGGTAGGTTCACACATAGGAGGAATTTGACTTGATGTCCTGGTGCATACATACAATATAAAACAAAAATGTAAAAAGGTACACAGATAGAGAACTATATTAAGAGCACTGTAATAAAAATATAGTAAGATAGCAATAAAATAATATATATATATATATATAAAATAATAATGTCATAACGACTTCGGTTTTGCGTTATTATCATGTGTTTATTTATCATAATTCTTTTTACAGACAGTTTTCCATTTGCTTCAATTACAATTTGGTCAAATAATTTGTATTTTGTAATTATCAAGGTGTTTTGTACAGTAAGCACATTTGCACCAAAGAGGTGTGGTCTGTATCAGCAGACAGTAGAACTACCAGTTTTAAAACTTGACAGCGTCTCTGTAGGAAATCCCCCAAGATCCCAGCACCAATAAAACACTCAAGGGAAGATTAATTTCAGATCATTATTTATATCACAGAAAAAGGAAAAAATTATCAAAGTGTAAAGTGCAACAAGCACAAAGTTATTACACATTATATAGCCAGAAACAGCTTAGCCTCGTGATTTCTGTGAAGACAGGCTGGGAAAAAAGTTCCTGAAGCGATCGCAAAATTGTTTTGGGTGAGTGCTGGTTTGAACAATAAACACAAGCATGGTTCAGGAAAAGGTCAGTTCACATATTAAAACCTAAATAATGACACTTTATATTATTACAGAAGCAAGATCAGATGGTAATATTCTTCCACTGTTGAACTTCTAATAATTAGACACAGACAAATAATATAAAAAACAAGTTCAATAATAATGAAATTGTTCTATTACATATTCTCCCTAATATGATTACATTTACAATACACTGTACAGTTAAAAGCAGCTGACACTTTGATACAATAAATCATCAGATATTAAGGTTCTCAAAGTTTTGACCACAAGATTCTGCAAATAGTTTGTAATTATTACACACAGTTCTTAAGGCACCTAAACACGTTGTTTTTTAAATCAGCTTTTCTCCATCTAATTAGAACAAAGTAAGTAAAAGTTAAAAAAAGGCATAATTTGTTGTAATTCGTGTAAAGTTTAAAATTCAAGATCTTCAAATATTGAGGAAATCACAGACGCTACATATACAGAAATGTCTTATGTGAAATTACAAAATTATTTTAGTTATAAGATTTTTTGTTTTTCATGTGTTGATCTCTTATCATTAATAAATAAGCTGTTTGAAAAATAAAACGTGTCAGGCCTTTTAAAACAATGTCTGCATTACTCAATAAAGCAATTATGTATAAAAATGAACTCCCATGTGATTTAATGTATTTATGTGGTTGATTAAACTTTGATCATTGGGTTATACAAGTGATTGAAGTCAAAGCAAATGTAACATTGTGAAGACAACATTGAAAGGCCCTTGATAACCAGTCAACTAGAAATATGCCATGTCTCACATCTTTAGAAGTGCAGATTTAAACGAATGAACCCTTTCAACAATAAACCAGCCTCAGCCTAATAAGCTTTCTTAATCTCCTTAATCAGAATGCCGTAAGGTCGGATATTTCCCCTTGCTATCTCTTCCTCCTCCGAAGCAGACTTTCCTGCACCAACAGGAATCAGCCAGTAGTCAGATCTTTGGCATACCTCTCTTCTTTCAGGATTGATTCGATTTTGCAGGACCAATTTGAAGCTTTTCCTCATCTTCTTTGATTCGAAGGTCTCGGCGTAGTGCTCAGCAACACGTATGTCTGGTGTTGAGTAGATTCCTCTTCCATATAAAGCTCTATCTCCAGCCTTGTATTGACTGTTGATGATGCCTCTGGCTCCATCTGAGCTCGTCCCATGGTAGGAAACAGGCCATTCTCCAGGTACAGAGTGACTCCTCAATTCTTTTGTGCCCAGCCAGGTGTCTCCATTTGGATATTTGCCTAGGACCTTTAACGCCATGCGGTACCAACCATTGGGGCGCTTATATGGCTTGTCACCTCTCATGCACTCCGCCGAGTCAGAGAGATGAGTGAAGTCGCGGTCATACTGCGGGTCAAAATATTTCTCATCACTGAACAATTCCTTCTTAACCTGTTGTTTCACCGAGATTCGTCCGCCGATAGATTCATTGACAGACAAAACATTTGGTGTTTGGTTGTCATAGAGTTTAACCACCTGTCCAAGAATGGAAGATAAAATTTCAGCTCTTAAATCTTGGTCACTAAACATGATTGAGGAGGATTCAAGCATAGCGTCTCTCTTCCCTAGTCCACAGTGTGTGTGTGAGCGAGCTTCGCTTATACAGTAGTATCTTAACAGAGACTTGGAATAAAAATAGATTAGAGAATTCTCTTACACTTTCATTTTGACTCAAGGTTGACACCTACAAAAAATATGTGCTGCTTTGACATAGAGCAACCGCGGAAACCTGTTCTACAGCCTTCCCTGTACAATTAACAAAAGAAGCTTGGCTGTGTGTCAAGGAGGAAAGTAATCTGCAAATGCTGTTTATACTTTATGAACACTGAGCTCAGAGCTCATTCAGTGAGACAGGAATCATTTCTTAACTATTGCACAGCTACACCTAACTACATGGCTCTTTCTTTGATAGAAAATACATTGCATAACAATAACAGTGAGGCTTTAAACAAACTTTATTCATATTATTTCAGTTTTTATCTTAATTTGACATTTTGTCTGTCAGAATCAGAATCAGAAACGGGTTTATTGCCAGGTAGGTTCACACATAGGAGGAATTTGACTTGATGTCCTGGTGCATACATACAATATAAAACAAAAATGTAAAAAGGTACACAGATAGAGAACTATATTAAGAGCACTGTAATAAAAATATAGTAAGATAGCAATAAAATAATATATATATATATATATATATATAAAATAATAATGTCATAACGACTTCGGTTTTGCGTTATTATCATGTGTTTATTTATAATAATTCTTTTTACAGACAGTTTTCCATTTCCTTCAATTACAATTTGGTCAAATAATTTGTATTTTGTAATTATCAAGGTGTTTTGTACAGTAAGCACATTTGCACCAAAGAGGTGTGGTCTGTATCAGCAGACAGTAGAACTACCAGTTTTAAAACTTGACAGCGTCTCTGTAGGAAATCCCCCAAGATCCCAGCACCAATAAAACACTCAAGGGAAGATTAATTTCAGATCATTATTTATATCACAGAAAAAGGAAAAAATTATCAAAGTGTAAAGTGCAACAAGCACAAAGTTATTACACATTATATAGCCAGAAACAGCTTAGCCTCGTGATTTCTGTGAAGACAGGCTGGGAAAAAAGTTCCTGAAGCGATCGCAAAATTGTTTGGGGTGAGTGCTGGTTTGAACAATAAACACAAGCATGGTTCAGGAAAAGGTCAGTTCACATATTAAAACCTAAATAATGACACTTTATATTATTACAGAAGCAAGATCAGATGGTAATATTCTTCCACTGTTGAACTTCTAATAATTAGACACAGACAAATAATATAAAAAACAAGTTCAATAATAATGAAATTGTTCTATTACATATTCTCCCTAATATGATTACATTTACAATACACTGTACAGTTAAAAGCAGCTGACACTTTGATACAATAAATCATCAGATATAAATGTTCTCAAAGTTTTGACCACAAGATTCTGCAAATAGTTTGTAATTATTACACACAGTTCTTAAGGCACCTAAACACATTATTTTTAAAATCAGCTTTTCTCCATCGAATTAGAACAAAGTAAGTAAAAGTTAAAAAAAGGCATAATTTGTTGTAATTCGTGTAAAGTTTAACATTCAAGATGTTCAAATATTGAGGAAATCACAGACGCTACATATACAGAAATGTCTTATGTGAAATAACAACATTATTTTAGTTATAAGATTTATTTTGTTCATGTGTTGATCTCTTATCATTAATAAATAAGTTGTTTGAAAAAGAAAACGTGTCAGGCCTTTTAAAACAATGTCTGAATTACTCAATGAAGCAATTATGTATAAAAATGAACTCCCATGTGATTTAATGTATTTATGTGGTTGATTAAACTTTGATCATTGGGTTATACAAGTGATTGAAGTCAAAGCAAATGTAACATTGTGAAGACAACATTGAAAGGCCCTTGATAACCAGTCAACTAGAAATATGCCATATCTCTAGGTAAACATCTTTAAAAGTTCATACAATAATAGAAGTATTGAACAATTCCACCAAGTAAACCAGCCTCAGCCTCATTATCTTCCTTCATCTCCTGAATCAGAATGCCGTAGGGTCGAATAGCTCTCTCGGCTATCTCTTCCTCCATCCAGGCAGACGTTCCTTCACCAACAGGAATCAGCCAGTAGTCAGATCTTCGGCATATCTCTCTTCTTTCAGGATTGATTCGATTTTGCAGGATCACTTTGTAGCTTTTCCCCGTCTTCTTTGATTGGAAGGTCTTGGCGTACAGCTCATTCTCAGCAACATGTATGTCTGGTGTTGAGTAGATTCCTCTTCCATATAAAGCTCTATCTCCAGCCTTGTAGTGACTGTTGATGATGCCTCTGGCTCCATCTGAGCTCGTCCCATGGTAGGAAACAGGCCATTCTCCAGGTACAGAGTGACTCCTCCATCCGTCTGGGCCCAACCAGGCGTCTCCCTCTGGATATTTGCCTTTGACCTTTAACGCCATGCGGTACCAACCATTGGGGCGCTCATAAGGTTCGTCACCTCTCATGCACTCAGCCGAGTCAGAGAGATCAGTGAAGTCGCGGTCATACTGCGGGTCAAAAAAGTCTTTCTCATCGATGAACAATTCATTCTCAACCTGTTGTTTCACCAAGATTTGTCGGAGGTGAAAGTCCTCGAGAGACAAAATATTTGCTCTTGTCTTGTTTGTTTGGTTGTCATACAGTTTAACCTCCTGTCCAAGAATGGAAGATACAATTTCTGCTCTTAAATCTGGGTCCTTAAACATGGTTGAGGAGGAATCAAGCAAAGCGTCTCTCTATCCTAGTCCACAGTGTGTGTGTGTGTGTGTGTGTGTGTGTGTGTATGTGTGTGTGAGCGAGCTTAGCTTATAAAGTAATATCTTAACAGAAACTTGGAATAAAAATAGATTAGAGAATTCTCTTACACTTTCATTTTGACTCAAGGTTGACACCTAAAAAGAATATATGCTGCTTTGACATAGAGCAACCGCGGAAACCTGTTCTACAGCCTTCCCTGTACAATTAACAAAAGAAGCTTGGCTGTGTGTCAAGGAGGAAAGTAATCTGCAAATGCTGTTTATACTTTATGAACACTGAGCTCAGAGCTCATTCAGTGAGACAGGAGTAATTTCTTAACTATTGCACAGCTACAAATACCTACATGGCTCTTTCTTTGATAGAAAATACATTGCATAACAATAACAGTGAGGCTTTAAACAAACTTTGTTCATATTATTTCAGTTTTATCTTAATTTGACATTTTGTCTGTCAGAATCAGAATCAGAAACGGGTTTATTGCCAGGTAGGTTCACACATAGGAGGAATTTGACTTGATGTCCTGGTGCATACATACAATATAAAACAAACATTTTAGACAAAAAAAGTACACAGATAGCGAACTATATTAAGAACACTGTAATAAAAATATAGTAAGATAGCAATACCATTTTATATATAAATAAAAATAATAATGTCATAACGACTTCGGATTTTGCGTTATTATCATGTGTTTTATTTATCATCATTCTTTTTAGAGACAGTTTTTCATTTGGTTCAATTACAATTTGGTCAAATAATTTACATTTTGTAATTATCAAGGTGTTTTTATTTTGTACAGTAAGCACATTTGCACCAAAGAGGTGTGGTCTGTATCAGCAGATAGTAGAACTACCAGTTTTCAAACTTGACAGCGTCTCTGTAGGAAATCCCCCAAGATCCCAGCACCAATAAAACACTTAAAGGTGGGGTAGGTAAGTTTGAGAAACCGGCTCGAGATACACTTTTTGTTATATTCCATGGAATGCTCTTAACATCCTGATAGCAATGAATATCTTAAGTGCTTTGACAAAAAATCCATAAAAAAATGTCATCTGTGGAAGCCGTAATACTGTAAAAAGTACGACCAATCATTTTAGCCGGCCCGGCTAAAATAACTGGATGGCCTACCTGCCTGTCAGCCTTCCATCTGTGCACAAATTTATCTCGTGCCCTCATTGGTCATGTGCGCGTTCGTGTGTGTTGGAGGAGGGGCTCTATAAGGAAGTGGCAGATTTTCTCCGGTTGTGTATTTTCAAATTCTAGCGATCTCGAGCCGGTTTCTCAAACTTACCTACCCTACCTTTAAGGGAAGATTAATTTCAGCTCTTTATTTATATCACAGAACAAATGAAAGATTATCAAAGTGTAAAGTGTTTCTAGAAAACTGGTTGCCGTAAACTTTATTGTAAAATAAGTTACTCTTATGGTGGAAATCTGAAATAAAGGATTTCAACAACATTTTCTGATATGTTTAATAAAGAAATACAAAAATAAACCTTTGCAAAGGATCCCAGCACACACAGCATTTCTGCAACCACTGGGAAACAAGCACAACGTTGTTAAACATTATATAGCCAGAAACAGCTTAGCCTCGTGATTTCTGCGGGAAAAAAATCCTGAATTGATCGCAAAATTGTTTGGGGTGAGTGCTGGTTTTAACAATAAACACAAGCATGGTTCAGGAAGGTTCAAAAGGTCAGTTCACATATTAATACCTATATAATGACACTACGGAATCAAGATCAGGGGGTAATGTTCTTCCACTGTTGAACTTTTAATAATTAGACACAGACAAACAGTACTCTAATAAAAAAGTTCAATAATTACAAAATGTCTCTATTACATATACTGTTATGATTATATTTACAATATACTGTACAGTTAAAAGCAGATGACACTTTGATAAATTAAAACATCATTTTTTAACAACAAGATTCTGCAAATAGTTTGAAATGAGTACTGACAGTTCTTAAGGCCCCTAAACACAGTGTTTTAAAAATAATCTTTTCTCCATCTTATTAGAAAAAAGTAAGTAAAAGTTTTAACCAGGCATCATTTTTTTTGTTGATATTCACAGACACTACACAGAAATGTCTTGTGTGAAGTAACTAAACAATTTCAGTTTTAAGATAAATGTCTTTGTTCATGGAGGAATCTTATCATTCATAAATAAACTGATGTGGTGGATCAGCTTTGGTCATTAGTTTGTTTTTTGGTTTATACAATAGATTGAAAGTCAAAGCAAATGTTACATTGTGAAGACAAAATGATAACAGTAGAAGTTACCTTGTAGCCTTGAACAAAGCCAATG